TATGTTAACGGGCATAGATAAATCTATGCCCTCCGTGTTAGCGACCTTACCCCTTTCGACATGGAGGACCGGACACTCATCCGTCCCGAGCTCCATTTTGATAGAATTGCTGAAATCACAAGTGACTTTAAGCAATTCCATCTTTTTCTTCATCTTCCATCATTTTTTTGTTGACGTTCAATAAGAGCTTAAGTTAGGCCTATATTGAATAAATATACTTTGACTTTGACTTTGAATAATTTGAGGTCATCCATGTAGAAAAGGTGGGTCACTTTTGTCCCTCCTCTCCGAAGCTGGAATCCTCCCCCGAGCCCCCCAATAACACGCTGAGAGGATTCAGGGAGAGGCAAAACCATATTGGACTCAAACAGTCGCCCTGGAAAATACCCCGTCGTATCCTTATGTGGTATTCCGCAGCCGTCATCCGCTCGCCTAGATGACAAAGGATCGTACTCCATTGCCCCATACAGTGCCCGCGGAAGTCTCTTACTGTACAGTCTACTTTGTACAGTTCGAGGACCCTCTTTAGCCATGTATGGGGCACCGAGTCGAACGCCTTTCTGTTGTCTATCCAGGCGGCGGAGAGGTTCCGACGGTTGCGTTTAACCATTTTGCCAATGACCGCGTCGATGAGAAGCGGTTCCTTTGTTCCACGACCGCCGCCCCGACATCCATTCTGAGCACGAGACATAATCCGATTCATATTAATATGCCGGGTGATTCTCACGCTCAGAATAGATGTTAGTATCTTATAGATGGTGGTTAGACACATAATGGGGCGGTACTTACTCGGGTCTGTGGTAACGAGATCTTTAGGAACCAAATGAGTAACCCCAGTAATAGTAAAGAGTCTCTTTTGGTCACTCTGGAAGAGGCGATTCTGGCTAAACCGCGCCGTCCTCTTGGTATATCGCCGAATCCGCTTCCCCTAAGCAACGATCCTTTGCTTCATGTCATCTATGCGCTCCGTTAGTTTTTGCGTAATATCCGGCTGGGACAAGTTGATGTTGGTCCCAGCGAACGCCATCCTAACGGTGCGCACAATTCTGGGCCTATTATTGCCCGATCTGAAGCTTATCAGCCTGCCGATGATAGTCCTCACCTTTGCGATACGGTCCTCAATTCTTTTTCTCCATGCTGGGATAGTGCTACCTGGTTTAGTAGCACGTCCAGTCTTGGGGAGTTTGGCGCCAACAATTCGGCATACTGCCAGTGCAGCGCCAAAGAGAATTGAGTCCGTATCGCAAAGATCCCTGCTAGCATCGAAATCCAGCAGGTTGCCAGCATCGGGTTAAGAGACCTCACGACAGACCGATTCCGCTTACTTAGGGGTATGCGGGGGAGACGTGGTCGATTCTCGAGAGGCGTTTCGCGCACCTCCAGAATTGCCTCCTCCAATATGCTTCTCATCTGCTCTATTTCTTGGGCGACTATTCCATCATCGCACGAATCTACAGGAGGCGGGGGGTAAAAGGAGGCTCCGCTTCCGCTTGTAACCCTGCGGGATCCGCAGCTTGCAGGGTCGCATTTCCAGCTACTGCATTTTCATCCGATGAAGGAACAGCCTAACGTCGAAGTCGTTCGATCGAGCTCGGCATCATCAAATATTTTTGAGCGCATGATGTACCCAACTCTGTCTGCTAGGTTTTGCTCGGTGACGGTTAAAGAATGGCTCCAGCTCAGCAAAAAAGCGATACGCAAACCCTCCAGTTTCACTCCCTTTTGCCCAAAAATACGCCCGCATTGCGTTCTGATTCATTTTAGACGTTTAGGGCGTCATTTAACGGAAGACGCCCCCAGACCGGCACCGTTTTCTATAGTGTGGCCGAACGCACAAACGGGCTTATCTTTCCATCGGCACCATCACTTTTGCCTAGGCACGGTGCAAACATCTATTGGCACGGCGCTGACTGATTGCGCCGACGCAACACTTTTGTCACTTAAACTGTTACGCCGGTGGTTGATAGGGTCGTCAATTCCCTACACCTATTTATTATTATTATTAAGAAAAAGAAAATTGAGGCATTTAAAATATCAGTTTCAAAACTCAGAACTCTTCATTTGATATCAGCCAGCAGTAAGGTTATTAAACTTTAAGCCAAATATATTATACGTAAGCGTAAGTACTAAGCGGTAATTGTTTTTATATAATAGATAACTCAAAACAATTGTAAACACATACACGTAGTATATAGTTACGTTTACGACACATGGCAACAATAACTTGTGATGAACGGCGAGTAATTTTACATCTCATTGTCGGTCCGTGGGGGCTTATTAGATCGTTCCCATTGTGATGTGGGGGCGGGGTGTGGGCGGAACTTGCACACATGTCCTAGTCGTAAGTCTAAAAGTGTTGCGAACAAAATTATCTAACATATAACACGTACGATCATCTAAAAGACAAGACAATAGATAAAACGTGGACTTTATACAGTTACAAATAAATTAAGACAATGAACTAATATATTATGTTAGTTGTTTATTTTATGTTGTTGTTGTTTGGATAACGATGAAATATACCCAAACGTTAATGCCAGCAGTGAGTACCAATAAGCTCATTTGTTGCTCGACTTTTGTCGTTTTCTGAGCGTAGTAACAAGATAAACCATGACTCATGAACCTAGCATCAGAGAGCTATCACAGCCCTCTCATTATGTTATAATTCAGTATACTTGAGCCACCCGAGTTCAAATACCTGTGCCAGCACCAATGATTGCTATGCACCATTTGCTTATTCTAATTTTAAGTCCTGATTTTTAGCGTGCTATCAATCAACATCTTAAGAGACCTGCTCTCTCTCCCTCCCTTTGAAATAATTTTAAATTGTGGTGTGCTATTATACGCTGGAAATGCCAAAATACCATCTTTTCAGAAGAGGCATTTAGGCGTTAAGGCTTTATAGACTTCTGTATTAACTACTTATGAAAAAAATACACTACTTTGAAATTCTATCACTAATAATTGATAAACTCATGAATTTACTCATAAAATATAGTACAAGTTGTTTGATACCACTCAAGAAAATTTTATGTGACTGAATATTGAGGGCCTTTGCCCAGCTGGGATTTACATATATACAGGCTATCACTCGAATTAGTATATTTATATACTGGAAACAATACTGTATATCGTGTAAGAATCAGTATGTATTCCACCAACAACTGCGTTAACTTCGAGACGGTGGCAGTCGGTGAATAAAACATCAGTGCTCAAGGGGTATAAGATGTGCAATTCAATTGCAGAAACACGTACTTACAGAAAGATGAGATAATATTTAAGCATAAATTCGGTTTTATTACAAAAAATATGTAAATCGTAAAAAAAAGGAACACTCGACCCTGCCAGGATTCGAACCTGGAATCTTCTGATCCGTAGTCAGACGCGTTATCCGTTGCGCCACAGGGCCTGTGGTAACAAAGCTTGAATTTAAGCATAAAGAGATATCACATTTCTTATAATTTATAATTATTAAAACTTTACATACATATATTACAAACTAGGTGTCCGGGCAGACATCGTTCTTTTTTAGTGATATTAAAACTTTCCGTGGACCTTAAGGAACATACAAAGAAATAAATTAGCTGAATTGGATCAGCCATTTTTTCCATTCCATTCTGCTATATTATTTATAAAAAATATTAGAAATAATTTAAATAAATAACCCATGGACAAACGAACATAGAAAAAATTTAAATCTTATCCTTTAAACGAGCAATTCTTGTATATAGAAAATGTACTTTTATCCCTGTTTTCAGAGAATTAAATAAATTAAAAAAATATCATTCGAATATGACGGTAAATTTCGCCGCAAAAAATGTTATAATAGCTCGGTCGGTAATCGGGCGGCCCCAAAACAGACGGCCGTGGTTCGTGTCACGATCATTTACACACTCTTTTTTTTACTTTTTTTTCGATTCCAGATCATTGCTTTCTTTATTTTTTATTTTTTGTTGATCCAGATGATTTTGTTATTTTTTTTTTTTTTTAAAGTTGTTTCTTTGTGAAAAAAAACCACTTCTTATTTTCTTAACATTAGGTCGGTAAGATCGAAAAATATTATGCGTATTTCATTACTCAGTAATTTGTATCTAAATTTAATTTCCAAAATACACGATTTACAAAAAAAGAACAAACCAAGCAAAGCTCGGTCCTCCAGGTACTATTATATTATGGACATAATTTAAAGCTTGTGAATTAAAAGTCTACTGTCTATTTTTTCTAAATTCGTTTTGTATTCTTGCATCTTAGATATTTTTATTATGATTTGACATGAATGTATTAAAAAATGTAAATATAATTTTAACATTCTTTATTTCTTCCTTCAAATTGTCTTAAATTTCGTGATCCATATAATAAATGTATGAATTTCGAATGTTTATGTATATCAACATTGATTGTCTATATCTATTTAAGGACCATAGTTATTGCTATGGTCCTTAAATAAATATAGACAATTATATATTAATATTTAAATCGGAACATAATTAATGAAATTTTCCGTCTCGTTTCATTCTCCATTTTCTATTTTTGCTAAAAAAAAATCTCAATTACGGAGCCTATAAGAATTCACTAACCTACATACACTGATCATAATAATTATTCATTTATAATGACTCTGGAACGATGGTTTTTTTTTATTTAAAAAGTTGTCAAGGTTGATGTAACCTGATGTTAAGTGAATACCGCCACCCATGGACATCTACCGCCCGGGACGAGCCTGCCCAATCGTGCATCAATAGCAGCTGTTCATTGGCCTTACCACAATAATATAAACAACTCGGTAAAATATGATGGTTTATTTTATTTTATATATGATGTCCGGAGTTCAAACATATTATTCCGGCATGTGACCACAAATGCTGTAAACTATTCAAAACATCGGGAGTTTCAGACAATATACGAAAATTATCATTTTTAAAATATTTAATATTCGAGTAAATAAGAGAAAATATACTAAGATTAGAAAGAGTGCTTCTAACAGCCATTTTTATCTACAAATGAAGATGATAGAAGCATTTAATCCCGTGTAAGAAGTTCAAAGCGGCAGCTTCCGGCGACCCCTGACCATTTCATATTATCAGTATAATTTCTTATCATTTTAAGATCTATTGACGAACTGGTACTTGGCATCATATGTTCTTGTTTCATATATTGTATGTGTATTTCACTTTAAATCATAAAGCATCGGGCATTGAACCCATAGAAAGATAAAAATCTACTTGAATGATTTGATCCTATTTCTCATAAAATGGAAAAGATATGCGTCACTCCTAATGACCACACACTCTTTAAAGCGCAACCAGGACTTCTATATCCGAATAATCGCTTTACTATTGATCTTGTCTGCTTCTACGTGGTGCAAATATTCGTGCCGTACATTATCATTGTTATTGTATTGTGTGAGCAATTTCGACCCGTATAAAAACTAAATTACGCAGTTGCAGATTAGCTTTCAACCATAGACAACTATGCCAAGCTACGGAACATTTTATTTGTATGCAAACCTACGTAAAATAAATTTAAGTATAGGAATGTTTGATTTCCAATTAACACCAGTGGTATCCACATTATCTTTTCGTTGATAAAAGAGAGCAATATATTATTAATATATAACTATATACTTTTTTACTTCTTTATTTTTTGTTAATTTTAGCTTATTTTTCTCATTTATTGTGTGCGTCCTTCTTTTGGTAAATAAATGTATTTTCTTTCTTCTTTCTTTCTGTATATATTATGGGTCTCGTATAGAGTTAACTAACTTCATTTACATTCATCATCTTTATGACCACTGAGCTGTTGAATGTTCAATATTTGAAATATAAATAGTTATGACTGGAAGAGTGCCAAGCTTTTTTGGCTAATATATTGAGCTCCACCTATACATTCCACGATCTCAGATAAGAGATAAGACTGGGGTAAAAAAAACCTTTTGACTTTCGTCTCGCATCTTCGTGAATTGGGAACAACAATTACTAAAGCGAGCCATCGGGTATTTCACTCAATAGAAATTAAACGGTTGCTTATTAATTTACCTCTTTTCTCAACAAAAAATAATAATTAATGTATTTGAAATGCATGTTGTATTTATAGTAATTTTTAACAATGGGACTGATAAATAGCATCCCAAAGGGAGTCCTATCAACTATAAATAGTCAAAGTTTATCTTATAAAAAATTGTGTAACTGTGGCATTTGTGTTTTATTCGATATTCAAACCATTCAATCTGTAATCTATGCCTAAAAAGCGATAGCATCAGTGGATCAACCCTTCGGCGACGGCCACATGGTTATGAATATAATTAAGGGTACCCGATGTGCCCACAGATTGCTTATCATTTCAATAGTAGCAATACAGATACAACCAAATTAAAAATATTCTATTACATCAACATATACAATATTTGTAACAACATATACAGGATTTCTTTGTAAAATAAGGCAAAACACAAATTCGCGTGACTTTAGTTCACAATCTCAAAATGTATATAGGTGTTACCCGACACCTTTGTTAAAAAAAACTGTAAATAATCTTTATTTTATAGGAAAATCTCAATAACAAATATCACTCGTATTCACAACGATTGAGAGGTCTTTTTTTGATTATGGCGGACGATCGCGACGTACGATTTGTACATTTCTTTCCAAAATTGCATTTTTTGTTGTTATATATAAACAAAAGCATTCCAATTTTTTAAATAGTGACAATTACTACAATACAAATAAGTTTTATATCAAATATTAGCGAATGTTTGATTTATATCGCTACTACAGATTTTAAGACCACATCTTTTTTGTTTCTTAACTGTCAATTTTATCTTTACCTTTTACTCTAAGTTTTAGCGGCAGTCTACTGTACTTGTTAAACCAGTGCTAGATGCACTGGATCTACAAGTGCAGTTTTTATACGGGGCCTGAATCTTCAGCTTGGACTCATAAGACTATAAGTGATGAGAAAGTTTTCGCTTAAATGGATGGCGAATCACTCAGGAAATTGTTCATGTAGTTCACGCCACATAACACCACACCGAACGGTCGTAACGAACCGTATGAAATCAATGCGGAACCGAATCTGCGATGCTTAGTGGAGAATACGCTTGGACTTCAGATTTGATTTTGAGCGAGGTGTAAAGCTATTAAATCATCTAATGGAACAAAACCACGTATCGATTCAACAAAACCACGTATCGATTCAATACAACTTTTAAACGTCAATTTCTGAGTCAGTGTCCTTAGAGCGATTTGTTAAATAAAAATGTCACAATAACGTGGTGTTACAACAGGTATAACAGAACATTGCATAAGATTCGCGATATGTGACTACGCTAGTTTATAAGATTCCGTTAGAAAATTTTAATAAATATTCGAAAATCTTAGCTATCCATCCAAGAATATATCCAACATGAAAAGTAATTCTGAGGGAGTAAAATTTCGTATATATATATAACACCGTCGAAATTCATTCGAAGAATATATCTGTTCATTGCTTAACCATACTTATATTCAGTGTTTTATTAATATAGAATCCTTGTTCACCAGAACATATCACAATCAAAACAGCATCTAAAACAACAATATGATAAATTGTTATTATTACTAACGATAGGCATATCCCACTGCTGGGCAAATACTTATCGCCGACTCCTGTAGTCCTCTCTGTGGATTACCTCCTCCACCCACTCTCTAGCAACGACGTTAAGGTCACTACGCCATTTTTCCGTGGTCAATCATGACGTCGATCACGTTCGTCTTTCCAATGACAATGCATTTAGAATGTTGAATTATCATACCAAGTGGAAAAGATACTCGCCAGTTTTTTTTGTAATACGTACAATTAACCAATTACCAACCAAAGATTTAGGATTTTACATTGAGAAAATGTGTCATTGAGAACTTTTAGCTTTTAGCTTTTACGAGTATTAATGTAAGAAGTTTCTCTAGGCATAGATGAAAGCTTTGCGCAGCTGTGAGACATACATTCAAGGGAGTTTTGAAGCCTTTTAAGCGTTATGTCAATAGATGACTGGTCCTTGGTGTGGTTGTTAAGTGATAGACCTGTAACAGACTGTAGTATCGGTTCCCACGCGGAAAATATATAATTATATAGGATACTATAATAAGTAGTGAAATAGCTCGAAATTATCCAGCCTTTACGAGTCTGCAAACATCCAAAGAATAGATTAACCGTTTGTCAAATGCTCTGTCATTGTATCTGTCATTATATTGCACATAAAACATTATTATGGGTCATTAATTAATAAGTAATAAACTAACGTTCAATTCGTATATTTATTAATAAAAAGACTAGTTGTGAATAATATGTTAGTAAACTTAATTATCTCTAAGTCTGAAACTATTTAATTAATAATGAAAAAACTCGTCTTTATGGGTTATATAGACGTATATTTACTTTTTAGTGGATATACTTTTATTTAATGATATGTCATAAACATTGATCAATAAAACATATCGTTTCGCTGCAGCAATTAATTTGGACTGACGTGATAAAAAATGCTTATTATGCACAGGGTGATAAAAAATAAAAGTCGAAAGAAATTATCCAACAACCGCATAGTGTGAATGCACTGACCAAGAGCAAAGCGATAGAAAACAACACGTCTCCGTTTCAGCACATTACCTCAAGAAGTTCATACGTGATTTCGCATTTTGCGCAATAAAACGGGGTACAATGCATAAACTTTGAGCGCGAGACCGACGGGCTGTGGGGACAATAAAACAAAGAGGCCCGTATCTCGCCCGGAGCGCTACGTCCGCGGCGGGCGCCCGCCCCGCCAATCAGGGGCGGCGGGCGCTGCGCGACGCCCCAATGGGGCGCTACGCCGCCGCCCCCGCTTAGCGCGCACGAGCATGAATGAGACGCAGCATCCCCGCAAAGGGACGCACATCGATCACCGTGGTGTGGGAGCAGGCCGTTCCGTTTCGACGCGGGGGCGTCGTAGTGCGGTCCTCTCGCGCAGTCGCGGACAATTAGTGCGCGGGGCGGGCGGCCGTCGCTCGGCGGACGTCACTATAATGTGGTTAGTCAGTGAGCGTCGGGGCCGCGCCGACGGCGAGGGCACGGAGCACGAGGCGAGAGGCGCGGTGGACGCGCGCTGCTACGGCACGGTGGAGTTCAAGAGCGCGGCGTGCGCGGGCGCCTCTGAGCCGCCCGCGCCGCCAATCGCCGCGCTGCCGGACCCGCAGCAGTTCAACATATTCCCGGCGTTCTTCAGCCGCCAGCTGAACTTCACCGGCGGCGGCGGCTGCGGCCAGGGCGCCAAGATAATGGAGGAGCTCAGGCCGAACCTGGTGGGCGGGCTGCTCGGCGTGCCCGGGCTGCTCGACGAGCACCAGGGCGACGCCAAGTACCTCCAGTCAGCCGAGAGCAAGTACACGCCCGACAAGGGGCGCAAGTGCAGCAACGCCTCGTCCTCGTCGGCGGAGGAGTTCGGCGGCCTCTACGGCGGCGAGCACGCGGCGACGCCGCCCGCGCCGCTCAGCCGCTCGCTGCAAGACCACTCAGGTACGTCTCGATTGTTATTGTGATAAGAAGTTGTATCTTGATGCAACCAGTGGCGGATTTGTAGTCTTGGCCGCGCTATGCCCCAGCCCATGTAGTAAGTGCTGCCCCTTTCTCAGAGCCCATCATATGTCTTGTTATCATCAGTGAGTTTTTTGTCACGATTGGCCACCCCTTATATGTGGCAGAACTAGACCCGGGCCTATTGAGTCTTATAGAAAATCCGCCACTGGATACAACCTCTTATTATTCTCGAGTTGCACGCTCGCTGGTGCCCGTGGTTTGTTACAAAAACCTTTATTTTAGATGACTGGGCGTGAAAGATGCTAACTGGAAATAAGGAATAAATAAAATAAATTTTAATATTAAACATAAAAGGCAGTGGTTTCTAGTATTTACGTTGAACCCATTAAAGCGTTCCTTCTTTTCTTTTTAGTCTTAATAACACTAACTGTTTATTATTAAAAATTAAAATCCTACGAATAAATAAATACGAACGTGTATTACAAGAATCTATTAAAGTAGGTTATTAATTTTGATGTTAGTAAATATTGATATGAAAATATATGTTGGTAATAAAACTTTAAATACTAACCTAACCTATTAAAAATCTTTAAAAAGGAAACTATGTAAGCTTAATAGCAAATATCCTAATATCATATTCTTATCAAGTTATCAATTTTTGCAGCATACCCTCCCGTCTCCTGTATCAAAAAAACATTTATCTTTCGAAATAACAGTGTAAGAGCTAATCTATTTATTGAACAATATCAATTAATAAAAAAAGTAATTACTAGTGTTTTTTTATTTACTTAAAACGGTGTGAATTGGGCAAATATTATAAAATGGTAACACTGAAAACGAATATACGTGGGGCGCACTAAAACTTTCCGGAATGAATAAGAAATAAATACTATTAAAGGTCAAAAATGCACTTATTGCTTCTCAAAATAATCTCCCTTTGCGTAAATGCACTTTTTATACGATTAAACCAATTTTGAAAGCATTTGTGCCATCTGTGGCCATTTGTGCCCTCTGTGGTGATTTCATAAACGTGTTTTTCATATTCTTCGACAACCTCTTCTGGTGATGAAAATCGTAGACCGCGTAATTGGCTTTTAATTTTCGGAAACAGAAAAAAGTAACAAGGTGCCAGGTCGGGACTTTATTCAGGATAGCTCATAAGTTCTACGTTTTTCACCTTCAAAAATTCCTTTGTCTGTCTGCCCGTGTGGCAAGTAGCACTGTCGTGGTGCAAGATGATACGGCGTTTACGGTTATTTTTACGCAGTTCGTCAATAACTTCCGGCAAACATTCACGGTACAACGATTCTCTTAAGCAACAGTAGCCACGCGACCAGTTTTATCAAAAAAAGAAGCAAATATCCGCTTAGATGCATTTTTCACCTGCGCCGCTTTGGTTGGTTTCGGCTCATCTTAAAAGATACGCTCGATTGCTGCTTTGTTTTGCATCTTAGCAATAAATACATGTTTCGTCACCTGTTATTATGTCTCACACCAAATTTGACGTACATTACATTGAATCTGGTAAGCATGGCATTGCGGTCCGTTTTTTGAGCCTCGGTCAAATTGTGCGCGAGCATAGCTTTCTCACATCCAAATGTTTGTGTAGGATTGATTGTATTTAACTCATGCCAATTTCTAAGGGTCCGAATCTCGTGGTAGGTCACATCCCTGTCTATTTCGATCATACGGCGCACAGCATCGCTGTTTTTGTTGTTCACAGCGGTGGACGGGCGACCATCGCGATTCGTCACTGAGATTGACACGACCGCGCTTGAAATCCGCAAACCAGCTATATATAGACGTCTGCCATGGTGCTTCATCTCGAAAAGCAGATTTAAGCCGAACGAGGCTCTGTTAAACTGCGAAATAACACTTAAAATCCTAGTAAATCATACTACGAAAATTTTCTCGAGTTAAATCCATGTTAATGTAGACACGCAAGTTTTAAAATGGTACCACAATGTTAAAACAATTGACAGTCAGATGAAACAAACTGCATTCTACAGCCAAAGAGTTCCATTTTCAAATGTTGTAATTACATTTTAAGTATTGTTTATAGTGACCGGTTCCGGAAACTTTTAGTGTGACTTATGTATTCTAACCCGTTCTTATAACCAATCTTTGGAGCATTTATACATACCTACATAGAAAAATTGGCGAAAGGTCAAACCAAATGGAATCTTTCTAAAATTATATTACTCACACAGAAAATAATAAAACAGAACAAAATTGTTCATTGCTGATGTTTATTTCCTGATTAACTCGTGTTCAGCCTTTCATTTACATTTTATTAAAGCAACGGTCAGACTCCGTTACTTACCGTATTCGAAGGTTTTTTTATATACAATAGAATGGCTACGATGATAATTAATACATAATGGATAAAATTTTAGTTAGTATAGTGCTTATCACATCCCTTAAATTTAAAGATGAAAATTTTGTAGAAAAGCTTTTTACCGCTGCGGGAATCTAACGCACCTCTTCCGGAATCTGACTAGGCCTAAAATACGAAAAGATTTTCGTTGGTGTGGCAATCAGCCTTTAAGGTTTTTGAAATATTTTCGTCCATTTTTCTACAAAATTTAAATTTTTCTTAAGTGCAGAGATTAGCACTATAAAAATTCTCAACATAATGTTTAATATATTTTATTCAAACAAAAGTATTTTTATATAGTTTCCATAATAATTGTATGTGTGTGTCCTATTAACTTATTCTGTAAAACTGATCGTTTCTCGACGGCCGTACCTTCAAGCGATATACATTCTATCTAAACCAAAATCTAGAAAATATTTCTCATGCACTTATATAAACAATATACATAGAAAATGTATTGTTTTCCAATGTAAAGTTATCTTCATTTAGCTAAAAACTTTCAAAGATTTTATATTTTTTGATGCAAATTTATGCGATAGGAGTTGATGTTCACTTAATTAATTCCCACTATATAACTTTTTATTGTTTCCTGCTGTTTATGCAAAAACAACTCTAAAACGAAGGGTTACTCGTCTTTTAATAGGCGTCTTCCATTTTTAAGAGATAAAAGTCTCTTAAAAATGCTTCACCTGTATGTGTGTAACGGAATCATCGAACGCCATTTTGACCGAGATTCGCCTGAAATTTTGCACTTCTCAAGGACCGATGACAATACAATGGTTTAATAAGCTTATCCCATTATCCTGACAGGATATTAATTAGAATTAAAAAACTAAAAGACACACTTTATTGGTAAACCGAATGAAGAAGTAAAATCCAAATTTAAATATAAGAATAAAATGTAGAGAAAAACAAGAAAATTAATGTAATTGTAAAAAAAAGAGTGACGTGCTCGATTTGATATGAGGTCACTTAGGTACACTGAATTAAAAGCGAGCACCGGAAGCTAAGGGGTAGAATAAATAAATAAGGTGCAAGATGAACATTTATTTGTTTTTGACTCTATAATAATTATGAAACATTACATATTATATAGTCATACAAATGTGTACATACAGGTGTATATTATGTATATGGTCTGGTCTTATAACTATTACTATTTCGAAATATTAATAAAATTTCATTTACATTTAATTCCCGACGATTTGAACACATTACTAGACTCTCTGCATGTTGTTACGGGAGTTGTTTTCATGTCAAGTCTTAAAGTCATAGTTCGGGCTACCGTTAACTTTTTACGTATTTTCTTTTATTTTGTCCCACCTAAGCAATAGGAGCTTACAGTATATTGAGATCTTACATTATTATGTGCGTGGATTAATTTTTTTTTGCATTATTGGATGCCGAACTTGAAATTAAATTGAAATTGGGGTATTTTTTTATTTCAACAGCCTACGGAATTATCCTTGCAAGAAGATCCTGTTTCTTTTGCAAGGTTTTTTGGTTTTGGGTTGGTCTAATCTTATACAATGTTTGAGAGATATACTATGTAGTCACAAACTACAGATTTCTATGATGGAACTACAGATTTCGATGGTGTTTCAAATCTTTGTATAACCTTAATGTAGGTCTTTATAGTTCTTCTTGTTTGCTCTATATAAGAGAGGCCACATTGAAAGTCCAACACTCGTGGATCTTGTAAAAGTTGTCGTACTTTACAATAATTCAATATTTTTATTACCATCAATATTTTTATTCAATATAATTTTAAATTATAATCAGACTACAGGCTAACTATGATATAACGACGCAAAAAATTTCTGTCTGCCATTTCTTTTCCAATGCCTTCTCGCATCGTCCTCGCATGCCTTTTCCCATCTTTGTTGGGTCGCTACAACATCCGATCCATGTTGTTAATGGTACCGGCTATACTTTTTACTACCTGCCGACTTCTACCCTCCTTCGAAATAAACTCCCAGATACGGGACAGTTATTTGTGGATCGCACAAATATTTGTCCGTGTGGGAATCAAACCCGCGAACCCCGCCACCGAAGCCAATAGCTCAGCAACTGCGTGGCACTGCCACCAGCCGTGTTCTCGTGTTTTTTTTAGATTTAACTGTTCACGCTCATCTTGAAGCTTTGCATTTTGGGTCACGTAATGCCGTAGCTATCCAGAATACGTACGCGTATTACAATTCCAATTAGACTATTATTGCAAACAATCGGCCCGGAGGGTATGACGTCATGAATACGAAATGTCACTAACGACCGCCCACCGGGTCCCGCTCCCACCCCAGTCGCGAATTGAGGCCGAATTTTCAGGCTCCTCCAGTTGCCAAGTTGAACACGCCGTACCTACGTATCAATAAACTTTTAGCACACTCTTAGCGTTCGATTGGACGTCGAATAATAGTTTTAGTGTAATAAAACGACAAAGCATATAAACATAATATGAGCCATTTTTGCACGGACATTTAAATTACAATTAAATGTTAATACAAAACCATTTTTTTTTTCATCAAACGGATGTAAAAAATCTCATCCTCAGAATCTGGGAAATATTACCTATGTACTTTTGTATTGCTTACTATTGAGCTAT